CCTTTCTATATCGAGTGGTTGTTTCCTGATCGAGTCTTATATTTGTTTCTCGATCTGGCGAATTATCTTGCTTGGGAGCCATCAGCGTCTGCATTGTCTGTATTTTCACACTACCATCATCTGCTACCGCCGCACACGGAATCATGATATGTCAACAACCTGATTGTGTGCCCTAATTTCCACTGTATATTTGTCTGTATATTTTGTGTGTCAGCGGGCAATTTGTTTTCGCTCTGTGTCTAGCTTGTCATTTTTTCAAGCAACCCTTCCCGCAATTGGTCGACCCTTTATGCTTTACTGCACCTGCGTGCTATTGTGTCACGCATGTCAATTAATGTAAATTGATCACCGAATGCCGTATTTCTTTTAAAATGTGAGTCATCGATATGGACGAGACAGGTTGTAACCCTTGGCAACAGCATTATTCCAGAAACAGATGCACGGGAGAGGGGGCATAGCTGATATAGGTTACAGGAAATAAAAACGGCATTTTACGTTTTTTAAAGGAAATAAAAGGAAAGTTCCAGTTACAGTAAAACAAATTCCTAATCATATTTTACATTTTTTTATAATATATTTGATAATTTGTGTTAAAGAATCAAAATTGGAATTGCGTACGAATTGCGACATTTAATTTGGAAATTACTTTATACTCTTACAAAAAAATACGATCTTTGTACAAATTCCCGACGAATAAAATAGTCGATTACATTTTACACATTGCTTATGTCCACGAATTTACAGTTTTTATTTATTTAAATTACATAATTACGAAAATAAAAACAATTTATTTACAGCTTACGAAAATACCCCCTTGCCGACCCTCGATGCACATTAATTATTCTCTGATGCCCACTTCGTGTCAGGTATGATACATTTTTACTATTACTATTTACTACCAGATTCAAACGGCATGGGAGGACATTTTAACCAACCAGACTGTCGGCGTAGGCATAATTCACTGTCAATATATTGAACAGACTAGTTTGGCCATTGGCATTATTTGCTTATGAATAGAGTCCTGCCAAGTTGACCCGTCTTTTGAAAGAGAAGGGGGTTCAATGTAGTAACACACACCCACAATGACCTTTTGTGTTCGTATACCAGTGATACTGCTGTGGCAACGTACACTGCTTGTATGGCCGGTAGAGACTACCTCGCCAAATCAACAATACTGACTACGATTCAGTGTTAACAATTACTAGTGTTTTCACGGACACCAACGATGTAATAATTCGATCAGCAGCCAAGCAGTCAGCTCCAGGACCAACAACGAAAATTAAGAATTGTTTAAAGCAGGTATGTAAGTGTATGTCATGTAGTACGTTCTAGACATACTAACCGAATTTCGCTTCACAAATTTTGAACAAGCATCGACGTTAAGTCACGGGTCACAGAACAATACGGTCCATGGTTAAACTTTCGCATACCAGTGGGACTTGGCCGCACGTAAACGAATAAGATGACGTGGCTGGTGTTCACAAGTCTCTGACTACTAGTATGTCTTGGCTATGTCCATGTTTACATATATGACACAACGGTAGGACTTTAAACGACCAACATGTCTGGACACGATCATTTACTTTCTTTTTACCAGTCAACCGTTGTGGGCTTCGAATACGATATCGTCGTGATTTGATGAATGCACTTTGTATATACATTATAACTGAATTTTGGTTTTAAACAATAGATTCCAAGTTTAACACACAAGTCTCGAATGAGGGCGCTGTTGACATCAATAGCAGTTGAAGTTGACCTTACATGTATTAAAAACACTACCAGTTGCAATATATTGACTAAATATAAAAAAA